AATGGAATTGATAGAAACTGCAAAACACAGCTTTTACAGCATACCTCTAACACCAAGAACTCTCGCTGGACCAATTCAAGTAGGTGCGGGGCTGGACCCGACTAAACACAGAGCCATTATTTTTGACGATGATAACAATACCCCAACTCCTTCTCACAAGACCACCAAGCCTGTTGGAATGAATAGAACGGGAAATGCCAATATGGCGGAGGGTGAACACGTTGTCCACCTCGAGGAACCTTGGTCAGAGGACCCGCTTGTTCGCCAACATCCACCGGCCGAGATGGAAATGGAGAGCCACTCTATGCACAGCGATGAGGATTCGAGCCCGCGAGTTCAGCGCCTTGATTGAGCAGGGATCCATTTTGCTTTACCCGTAAACGTTGTTTCCCATGAATATCTTAACTTGGAATGTTCAAGGAGCAGGCTCGCCTGAATTTCGGGGAGCTTTCTCTACCTTAGTCCGCCAGCACAACCCAGATGTCGTAGCTATTTTTGAGCCGCGTATTAGCGGACAAATGCCGACAAGTTTGTGAGGTTTAGCAAATTTGAGAATTCATTCTGAATTGAAGCTAGAGGATTTTCCGGCGAGATCTGGCTTTTATGGAAGGGAGATGTAAGTATCAACGTGTTGTACTACTCCCGTCAACTCGTCCACGTTCAGGCTAGCATGAATAGGGAATAGTGCCTAATATCTTTTGTTTACGCAAGTCCCAACTCCAGCATTCGGCGAAGGCTTTGGCTTGATCTGGAGAGGCTGGCTACGTGATCCCCGGGCCCGTGGCTAATAGGCGGCGATTTCAATTGCCTACTCCATCCTTCAGAGAAGATGGGAGGGTCCCCAAATTTTTGTAACTGGAGCATGGAATTCTCTAATTGGATGTTTTCTAACGGCATCCAAGAAGTGGTTACTGATGGCCATCTTTTTACGTAGAGTCGGGATGGCCTGCATGGTCGTGTCATGGAAAAGCTAGACCGCTTTTTCGCAAACATTGCCTGGATGGAGAAACATGAGATGGGTCGCATTCGCCTTCTTCCATGCATCCAGTCTGATCACTCACATTTGTTGATAGAATTTAGCCGACAGCAGTTCGCGCCGCAAGGAGCAAAACCCTTCCGCTTCCTTTCCGAGTGGCAACTTCACCCGGGCTTCCCCACCTTACTACAGGACTCGTGGGAGCCCAACCTTTGCTTTACCGAGGCGGTCACCCACTTCACTGTCGCGGCTAGAGAATGGAACATTACGACTTTTGGCAGTATATTCCAACGAAAGAAACGTCTTCTGGGTCGTATCGGGGGTATCCAACGAAGTCGGTAATTTTACTTTAAGGAACAGCTGGTGATTCTTGAAAAACAACTTCGGGAGGAACTCGACGAGGTCATCCTCCAAGAGGAATTACTCCTAATCCAAAATTCAACGAGACTGGATGTATTTAGGGATAGAAACACCTCGTATTACCACCGACAACTTAAATTCTGGAGGCGACGAGGGCGCATTGTGGAGCTGGTGCATGAGGGAGGTAATCGTGTTACTGACCAACAAGCTCTCCAACATCTTGCTACCGATTTCTTCAAAAAAAATCTACACTAGCGAGCCGCGTCTGACTTTGGAGGATACGATGCCTAATTTTTTCCTTGACTTTGACGAGGACCGAAGACGGGATATGAAAGCAGACATATCGGACGAAGAGATTCTCGTTGCCCTCCAAAACATGGGGTCATTAAAAGCTCCGGGAGTTGATGGTTTGAACGCATAATTTTTTAAGAAGAATTGGGACACTGTGAGAACTTCAGTGCGGGAGTTTGTTCGTCAAATGTGGCGAGACGATAGTGTCTCGAGTGGCATCAACCACACCCTTCTAGTCCTTATCCCCAAAATCGAGAATGCCACCTCTCTTAAGCAGTTTCGACCTATTTGTCTTCTCAACTTCATCTACAAACTATTCACAAAAGTTTTAGTGAATCGAATGAAAAGGACCCTCCCTAGCCTCATTCACCCAGCACAAGCCAGCTTTGTCCCGGGACGCCAGATTATAGACAATATTGCCATCGCTCATGAGCTAATCCATTCTATGTGCCATAAGCAGGGAAGAATAGGCCATATGGTCATCAAAGTGGATCTGGGAAAGCTTATGATTTTCTTTGCTGGGACTTCATTGAGGAGACACTCCAGCTTGTCGTCTTTCCCGAGGTCATGATCTCGGCTATCATGGCTTGTGTTCGCTCGGCGTCTATGCGACTGTCATGGAACGGGAGTTAAGGGGAGGAATTCTAGCCTACTAGGGGAGTTTGGCAGGGTGACCCCATGTCCCCGTACCTTTTCGTGCTATCCATGGAGAGGCTGGCACAAATTATCGACAAAGCGGTTGACGGGTGATTGTGGAGACCGATTTCGGTTGGAAGGGGGTCGGTTACTATGCCTTTCTTGATGTTCGCCGACGACCTCCTCTTGTTTATGGAAGCAGCGGATGACCAGGCAATATGCCTAAAACAAGTTCTTGACATTTTTAGGAAGATGTCGGGCCTTAAGGTTAGTTCGGAGAAGACTCAAATCTTTTTTTCTTGTAATGTGATCGAGGAGGTCCAACATAGGTTGGCGGATACCTTACAGTTTAGGTGGACGGACAATTTGGGGAAATACATTGGGGTGTCTGTTATCCACGGTCGCGTGACCAAATCGACTTTCTCGCACATTCTTGATAAGGCGGAAAGTAGACTAGCCGGGTGGCGCATGAAATCACTTTCGATGGTCGGTCGTGTCACTCTTACCAACTCAGTGCTTAGCTCGCTGCCCTGCTACACTATGTAAGCTGCATTGCTTTCAAGGTCCGTCACCGAAGGGCTAGAATGTCAAAGTCGCGCCTTCATCAGGGGAGGCTCTACAGAACAACGAAAAATTCACCTGGTGGCGTGGAAGGACGTTTGTAAGCCCAAGGATGACGGTGGCCTGGGCATTAGGAACTTACATGGAATGAATTTCGCACTCTTGATGAAGTTAGGGTGGGGACTTGTGTCGCACAACAACTCGCTTTGGGTACGCCTGACGTCTGCAAAATATGGGCTCTCTTCCTCGAATAGGTTGGACAAACCTCGCTGTAGGACATGATCCCCTTTAATGCAGGTCATCTGTAAGATTTGGCCTCAGATGGTTAAAGATGTTCGATGGCACCTGGGCGATGGTAAGATGGTCCGCTTTTGGCTTGACCCCTGGATGGAAAATCTCGGGCCACTTCTCCACCACGCGTCACAATGGCCGCCTGAAAACACGCTCCATTGGCCAGTCGTGGAGCTCGTTCATGAGAGGGGAAACTGAAAATGGGCCGACAATCACAGAATCCTCCCTTCAGCCATTATCTTGCAGCTGGCCGGAATTGCACCATCGAGGGAAAGCACCGGACTAGACCGCATTACATGGGGAGACTCTCACGATAAAAGATTCTCGACGAAGTCAGCCTACGAGGCCTTAAGTTCGATGGAGAGGGACCCGACTCGCCCCCTTTGGAAAATGATTTGGAGCGCTCCAGTCCCGCAAAGAGTCCGTCATTTTTATTGCTCACTGCCAAAGAGAGACTATTGACCAACAGTGAGAGGGTTCGAAGGCATTTAACCACATCGTCGGACTGTGATGCGTGTGGAGAAAGCGAGACGATTATCCACGTTCTGCGGGATTGCCCGGTGACTCGAAATATGTGGTGTAGACTCCTCCCGGCCAATACTGCGTGCAACTTCTTCGCTCTTCCGCTACAGCCGTGGTTACGTAATAACCTGGAGAGAGCACATGTTGGCTCGAACAAGAACTGGGGCTGCACTTTTACCTTTGGCGCATGAAGCACGTGGAAGTGGAGGAACGAACGCATTTTCAAAGGTACGTCCCCCAGTTGTGACGTTAGGTGCATGGATATCCTCTGGAAGACGACGTCTAACGACAAGGCGCTTGAAGCCTATGCGAGAGCAGGTGCTGCGGTGTATAACTTCCGTATGATTAAATGGGTGACTACGGAGCCGGGCTGGGTGAAAATCAACACATATGAGGCCTGCCATCGATCCACAGGCATGTGCAGTGCATCAGGATTAATTCGAGACGAGCGTGGAGGTTGGGTCGCTGGGTTCGTCATGAACATTGGAATCTGCACCATTACGGGAGCCGAACTGTGGGGACTATTCCAAGGGATCCAGCTGGCCCGGGAAATGGGATTTCGTAAAGCGATAGCAGAGGTAGATAGCTTGTGCGTGACAAATATGATCCTTGGGCTGGAGGATAACTTTGGAACTAACGAGTCATTAGTCCACGCCATTAGACTTTTGATGCGGGGAGACTGTAGCGTTCGAATTCAGCATGTGCATAGGGAAGCCAATTTTGGCTGATCAGTTAGCAGAATTAGCGGCGTCGTCTCCGTTGGGTGTGCATAAGGTCACGAGTCCGCCTTCGGGGCTGGGTGAATGGTTGAATCACGATATCTGGGGGGTGGCACATCCCCGTCGAGTTCTCATTTCTTAGTTTAGTTTGTAGCACTCGGGCCCTTGCCCGCCTTCATTGTACCCAAAAAAAAATGTATGAATATGTACGGAAAACAAAAGAGTGTTTAAACTTTAAGTGTAAGAACAATTTCAAATGGTCATTGATTGAAAAAAAAAAGTTCGTTTACACATATATATCGTAGTTCTTATTAAATAATTGCACATATACTAATCATAATTTTTATATGCAATTATACCAAATCGACAAAAAATTTTATGTTTATACATCCTACCCAGCAGGACATCCAAATCCGAAAATTGACATCACCACTCCTCCACTCAAAAATCGACGACTTCCTCCTTAGAAAAGGCACATTCAAATCTTTAAAATTTTTACTCCCAACACATGGATCTACACATAATTTGACTATTTATTTTTTTTTTTTTTTGTACAAAGAAAGACGCTAACACGATTACGGTATGGGCGTACTACAAACGGGCCTCAGATACGAAACTCCACTAATGTCATGAGCCAGCCACATCCGGACCCCATTAGGTGGATCGCGGGAGAAGTGATACCCCAATGGTCCTTCCATCGCTAGAAACGCCAAATAATCGGCAGCAGAATTCGCCTCACGGAATGCATGTTGCACCTTAACCTGCCAAGGACGGCCTAGAAGATCTTTAATTCCCATAATGAGGCTAGTGTGCACTCCAGGCACCTCTTCTAAGGTGGCAGAGAACTCTACAACACTCGCACTATCAACTTCCGCCACCACCTTCCGAAACCCCAAATCCCAGGCCAAGCGAAGGCCTTGAAAAAGGCCCCATAGCTCCGCACCCATTATTGAGCAAATCCCAATCTTCATAGTAAAGCCACCAAGCCAACGACCTAGTTCGTCACGAATCAGGCCCCCAGCGCACCCTATGCCCGAAGTCCCATGAAAAGAGCCATCAGAATTGATCTTAACCCACCCCGTCGATGGTCTCTCCCACTTTATCCAGCAAGGTATCCTTGTGTGCCCCGACCCACCAAGTTTCTTATCGCACTCCCTCACCTTGTCCAGCCCTTCAATATAAGCCAAGATTTCACGTAACCCACACTCCACCTCTTTAGTCTTCCCCTGAAAAATATGTTCATTCCTCCACTTCCAAATTTTCCACACAACTACCCCAAAGGTACGATCCCACTGTGTGTATCCATGATCAGGCCGAGGCATTAAGTTTGACAAAACCCAATCGTCCAGTTGCAGAGCAAAGAAAGAAGCACGATAGTCGCTCGGCAGCAATTTCATCCAAATAGCAGCTGCCAAGTGGCAGTCCCGGAGGACATGCAGCGCGGATTCATCCGCCTGGGAGCATACACCACAGAGTGCGTCGGCCGCCAGGTGTCGCCGTCTTCTCTCTTCATTAGTGAGCAGTCGGTTTTTGGTCAAGAGCCAGAGGAACGTACGAATATGTTGAGGACCCAGCCAACGCCACACAACCCTCCATAGTTGTTGTTTGTCCGAAGTCGCGAGCTCTAAATTCTGGTCGTCAGCTAAAAGCTCATAGGCCGACCTGGTAGTAAATTTACCCGTTGGAAAAGGACCCCAATAAAGGCGGTCTCGACCTAAGTTGATATGTGGCGGCGGAGTAGCGGCTATCTGGAGGAGAATCGATGCCGGAATGAAGCCCGAGAAGAGATCTCATCTCCATGCACCAACGTCCGAGGTGAAAAAATGAACCGTTCTTCCCAGTAGGGAAGCTGGGACCTCGTTAACAGCGACATCCAAAAGTACGGTACCCGACGGGAGCCACCGATCCATCCAGAACATAGCCGTGCGACTGTTACACACTGCCCACCGGGCCCCTTTAACAACAGAACTCCACACTTTCTTCACAGCCTGCAAGACAGCCGAGCTACGGTGGCCGGGAACAGCCGAGAGCGGGCCATCACCATATTTAGCTTTCCAAACGTGAACCCACAGGGCATTATGATCCGTAAGATACTTCCAGCCCAACTTCATTAGTAAAGCATCATTCATCAAACGCTGTCTCTTCAAGCCCAGCCCTCCACATCGTCGGGCCTGACAAACCTCATTCCATTTAACAAGACTCAACTTTCGCGTATCTCCCGAACCTCCCCATACAAATCGCCGACACCGCTTCTCTAGCCCTTCACAGATGGCGTTAGGCAACCGGGCTGACTGCATCGTATAATAAGGAATAGCGCTAAGCACAGCTTGCGATAACACCACCCGACCCGCCATGGATAAGGAAGCCGCTCGCCATCCCGACAGCCGAGCTTCCGCCTTGTCGAGGATACGTTCATATGTTCGGGTCGTGGACCGGCCGTGGAGTAGAGGGACGCCCAAATATAGGCCTAGATCATCCACCATGTTAAATCCTAACAATGTAGCCAAAGTTTGCCTGTCAACATGCGGCACATTCTTGGAGAAGAACACGGTTGTTTTTGGGTCACTTACTCGCAAGCCCGAGGCACAACAGAACCCCTCCAGGACCTCCTTTAATGTGCCCACCTGCTCACTGGACGCTTCAAGGAATAGAAGAAGGTCATCCGCGAACAACAAGTACAGAATCTTAACTCTCCCCCGCCCGACAGAAATAGGTCTCTACTTCCCGTCTTCTACAGCCCGTTGAATGGCTTGGGCCAATCGTTCTATGCATAGGACAAATAAATATGGGGAAATAGGATCCCCTTGACGCAGTCCCCGTGTTGGCCAAAATTCTTCAGTCGGGGCACCATTCCAAAGGATTTGCATAGACGAAGAAGAAATACATTTCATAACGGCCGACACAAACTCCCGAGGAAAGCCCGCCAAAAAAAGAGTAGACTCGACAAAGTCCCATCGAAGGAAATCATATGCCTTCTCTAGATCAACTTTGATGACCATGTTCCCTTTAGCCCCTGTCTTGGTTCTCATGGAGTGTATCAATTCTTGCGCCACAATAATGTTATCGTGGATTTGCCGACCCGGCACAAAGCTAGCTTGAGTTGGGCCAACTAAAGCAGGGAGGAGAGGCTTCATCCGATTAGTGAGCACTTTCGTCATTAATTTATAGACCACATTCAAGAGACTAATCGAACGAAAGTGTTTGATCATTTCCGGTTGAGCAATCTTCGGGATGAGGACAACAAGAGTTCGGTTGACAGAAGCGGGCATAGCCCCACCCCTAAGAACCTCCCGGACTAACTTGCACACAGACGGGCCGACTTGGTCCCACTGGCTTTTGAAAAATAAAGCATTTAGGCCATCACTTCCTGGCGCTTTTAAAGACCCCATCCCATGGAGAGCCCGGGAAATCTTATCATCGGAAATATCTCGCTTGAGGAGGGACGACGCCTGGGGACTAATAGGAGGGAAATTGGACCAGACTACCCCTGGTACTGGAACTACCATGTCCGACACATAAATAGACCGAAAATACGATACCGCCATGTGTTGCAAGCCGGCCTGGTCCGTAACTAGGTTATTATGAGCATCTCGTAAAGCGATAATTTTATTTCGATGTCGTCGAGCTTTGACCTGCCCATGATAGAATGCAGTGTTGCGGTCACCAAAAAGGGCCCAATCCCGCGTGGACTTTTGTATCATGAGGACCTCCTCCTGGAGCAAAATCGCCTCCAACTATTTGTTAAGGTCCGCTCGAGCCGGGCTAGTCTATGGGACCCGTGGTTCTGAAGAGCCCGCTGGATCCCTCCAATACGTGCTAGCAGCGTTTTTTTTTTGAAAAAATATTTCCGAAGACTTGGTAATTCCACTCCCTAGCCTCGATGGAGAATGCAGATGTCGCGTCCACAAAATCTCTATTCGCCGGCCAACATTTCTCGACAACCCCTCGGAAGCTGTCATGTAGAAGCCACGGGGCTAGAAACCGAAATGGCTTGTCTCCTCGAGGCTGAGATCCACTAATGCAACGGACAAGCAAGGGGCTGTGGTCAGATCGTATACGCGGAACATGCCGGACAAAAGCCTCAAGGTATCGATCTCTCCATGCCTCGTTACACAGGAAACGATCAAGCTTCTTCGATAAGCCCCCTCGACGCCACGTGAAAAGCGTACCATCGGTCCTCACTTCATGCAGAACATAATCAAAAATCCAATCCGAGAAGGCCTTGCAAACCGTCCCACCCCGTCGAGATCCTCCAGATTGTTCGGAGACCCGCAGGATGCAGTTAAAGTCACCCCCAATCAACCATGGGGCGGTTATAGTCGAGGCTAGGTCAGATAATTGGCGCCAAAGAGCTCGTCTGCTTAATGGGTTCGGAGTGGCATATACAAACGTAACTAACGACTCTCTGCCATCAATCTGGACACGGAGATGGACAAACTGTCTATGGCAGTGCAATATAGTCACCACCGCTTTCTCTCTCCACAAGATCCATATTCCACCCGAAAAACCAGCTGCCTCCACGCGAAAAGAGCGATGGAACCCTGATCGGCGGATAAATTCATCGGCCTTAGTGCCACTGATTCTAGGCTCAAACATTGCCACAACATCCGGCTGGTGTTGATGAATAATTGTAGAGAAGGCTCTTCTAAAACCGCTGGAGCCCGCCCCTTGTACGTTCCAGGCTAGAAAATTCATAAAGAAAATTACGCAAATAAGAAGGGCCATATCGTCAGGCCAACCGAGGGCCACCATCGGCCAGATTCACAGTCTCACTGTCCTCATCCATGTTAAGGTCCCGGGCGCCGTGGATCGGTTGTGAGCTATCCGGGGGTTCCTCCTGAGGGATTGCACTGCAACTAGGGATTTGAGAGTCCACTACCATAGCGTGTTCCTTCGTGGACAAATCTCCAGGGTCTATAATCTCCACATCTCCACTATTCGGACCCGGGTGTGACGGTTCCACCACTCGTACCACCGTATGTTTGGTTGAATCCAACGTTGAGGCCACCAGGTTGACAATAGAGGTAAAGGAGAACGGTGTCGGCGACTGAACGGGAGTCGTAGTCAAAAAGGATCCTATCTGCTTCTGGCCACGCACAAGCGGCTCATGAACCACCTTTTCAGGCGCATCCTTGGCCCCAACCCTTGAATGGGCACCAGACGTCTCCTCGTGTTCCACCCGAGTGGTACCCATGGCCTTCTTTCCCTTACCACGTTTCATCGCACCAGTAATCAAGCGCCAACCGGAAGCAGATCCATTATTATTATTCCCTGACGTGCCCTCGGCAAACTCCTTGCTTCCGTTGTCTGCATTGAAGGCGTCACCAAAGTTAGGCCGAGGAGAGGGATGAGAGTCCTCTGTCGCATCGTCCCTAAGGATGTTGAAACGCGAGCCAGAGCCGGGGTTATGAGCAGCCCGAGACTTGCCCACTGCAGCGGGCTCTTTCCCTGGATGGTGCTGAAAGCGACCGGACGTCTTTGCCACTATCCATGGTCCATATGCGTTCCCTCCGCTCTGGGCTGTTGCGGCGTCTATGTTCCTCGCAGCAGTACCGTCTCTCGCCTGGCCCATCGCGCCACCAGCATCACCATTGGTATTTTCAGGCCCATCAGAGGTCGGAGTCTCCTCATCTGTGGTTGGACTCTTGCCAGTGGAACAACTAGCCGCAGAGTGCCCGTAAATTCCACAGGTAAAGCAAATGTCCGGAAGAAATTCATATTCCACCCTTTGAAGCTTTCCCCGAATAGTGAATCTGGCGCATAGGGGTTTATTCAAGTCCAATGTTACGGCTAACCGAGCAAACTTGCCCCTTGTTTGGGAAGCGGTCTGATGATCTATCTTCACTACTTTTCCAACCACCTCGCCAATTGTGCGGAAAATTTTTTGTGATATAAGTGCACCGGCATTCCCGGTAACCGAATCCATGTCACCAAGGATTTAATTTGATTACAAGTAACATCGAAATCATCACTCCACGGCTGAACATGAACGTAAAATTTCTTGTATTGTTTCGAGAGCATCCATGGGCCGCCCACTAGTACACGTACGACGTCATCATGTGTGGTAAACCGAATTTGGAAGTACCCGTTCTCCAAATCAATCATGTCACAACCATTCGTGAAAGGCCACAGATTCACTAGCTTGTTGTACAACAGTGGAGGAGACAGAACCGCCCCCATCACCTTAACCACTACCACATTCTTCCAGGAGTGTATCAATGTCTCGTAGAAGCTGTCCTTTACCTTGGTATCTGGCAGTGGCCCATTGCGATCAAGAGTAACGTCATCATCCTTAACATCCCGCGGCTCGTCATCAGAGGTTAAGTCAACATGTTGCCGATGGTTAGTGAGCGTATCGCGAAAACTCCTCCCCCTGGGGGCGCCATCGGCGCCTGGAAGTCCGAGCCAGTCAACTCGATGTTCCCGTCGTCGTTTGGTTGCATTCGAGAGCGCTTCAAAGATCTTGGACTTTGCAACGGAGAAGAAAGGGCTTGCTGCAGGCCAGGGAAGTTATGTCGGTCAGGCGGATCGGCGTGAGGGCCATCCGGCAGGCGTTGAAGTGAAGCCGTCGCGATCCTAGGGTTTCGCATATCCTAGGGTTTTGCACTATTTATTTTTTTCATCTCAAGCTATACACTTTATTCACACCAATATGTCATTATTACTCAGAGATCTCTACTTCATCACGGCTCCACTTGCTCCAAGACACCACCGCCCGGATAACAGCAAATCTCGCCTCCACACAGCCAGAACCCCCGTCGTCTCTGGTCCCCTTCTCTTCCCCGCACACGGCCCGTCCCTCGATGCCACCTCCTATGCTAGCATCATATGCAGACCATTCCACGTCAGGTCCCCGGAGTCCAAAGACAACGGGCCGACTCTAATGAGGCAATGTACTTGCCCGGG